TTGTTCAGAAAGACAGGATACAGGGCTTGTGTTGAGTGCTGTAGCTAACATAATGATCTGAATCACTTTGGTTTCTTGCAGGGACATCTTTGAGAGGGTCATACACCTGAGCTTGGCACCAAAGAAGATGAAATTCTTCTTTAAACGCTACCTGGATTATGAGAAGAAGTTTGGTACAACAGAAAGTGTCCTGGCTGTTAAAAGAGCAGCACTTGAGTACGTGGAGACCAAGAGCTCCCTTGCTGTTGCCTAAGTATGGTGCAAGTAAAAGCAGAGAGACTCAGTTCTCCATGCAGTACGAGAACTGAGAGGTATGGAGTTCTGCTCTGAGTGTCCATGGACAGTGAGTTTCTGGAGAGTATTGGTCTATGACCAAACCAAACTGGAAGGAACAAGCAAAGTAAAAGATTTGATAAATGTTTTCAGCTTTGTCGAGATGTTACAAATAACCCTACTCCGTTGACGACTTTGAAGACATCTTTTTAAATATAGACTGTTTTATAATCAATACAAACATCAGCCATACCTATTCTACTTTCCTGGGGAAACGGTGCAGTTACGCACCACTCTTTTTCAGTACAGCAATATCTTATAAATTGAACACAGAATTGTGACATAGTTGAGGTTGGAAGGGACCTCTGGGGATCGTCTGGTTCAAACCCCTGCTAAGAGCTGGGGTCAGCTAGGCTAGGTTGCTCAGGAGCCCATCCAATTTGAGTTTGATTTCTGCAAGGATAGAGGGACCACAACCTCTGTGGGCAGCCTGTTCCAGTGTTTCACCACAGTAAAAATGTGTATTCTTGTATTTAAATGGAATTGTATTTCAATTTGTGCCCATTTCCTGTTGTCCTGACACTGACCACTACTAAGAAGAGCCTGGTTCCACTTTTTAATATCCTTCTGACAGATATTTATTTATACATCTGGATAAGATCCACCTTGAGCTTTGTCCTCAGGCTGAGCAGCTGCATCGCTCTCAACCTCTCCTTGTATGATGGATACTTCAGTCCCATGATAATTTTCCTGTCCCTCTACTGGACTTCCTGTATCTCTCCTGTACTGGGGAGCCCAGTACTTGACACATCACCCCAGATGTCTCCCCACTGCAGCAGAGAGTTGTGAGACCTCTCTTGACGTGCTGGTAATGCTACTTCTAATGCAGCCCAGGATGCTGAAAAGATGTAAGCATTTGACGTCTACAGTATCCAGTTGTGATGAATCCTCTGATTGCAACCATCTGTCGTAACAAGTTGCCAGGGATTAATGACAGGACAAATACTGATTTTCAGCAGTTATCTCAAGAGAAATCGGTGAAGTTGAGGCAAAAATTATTCTTTCTGTGCTGGGAAAAAAAATCATCCCAGTCTTCTGCTTGGAAAAAGCCAGGTATCTTGGGTGCTTACATTGACTCTGTCATTGCTGTTGGTGCCTTATGATCCATATTTTTCTAACCCTTCAGTAAGGTGTGAATGTGATCATCCTCATGTTTTACAGATGAAGAACTGAAGGCAAGGGAAAAAGCAGGATACACAAAGAGCTGTGATTATCCAATGTAGATACTAGTGAGCGAGTGCCCAACTTTGAAATACCAGACTTGAAGAGTCTTATTCATTGTAGGTACTCTGAATTCAAAACCCAAGATCTGCAGGACCCAGCTCTTCTGCTTCTGTGTATGCCCAGTGTTGGCAAGGCTGAACAATTCAGCATTTAATTCATTCCCAATTCTGTTGGGATGCAGAAACAGGTAGTTTTGTTTCTTGCCCCCAGGGAGAGCAGCGTACTATGCTCAGTTTTTGCTTAATGCTCTTCTAGAGGAGGAGGCTGCTTGCAACATCCAGTAGCAGCTGCTGCAACAATGGTGGGATTTTTTTAATAAATTAGTTACATAATAGAATATGTAAATAAGTGTTGCAGTAGAAACCATGATCCCTTTGAGGTATTCTTGCTTCTTGACTACTGGGCTGATTATAGTCTCTACTGTAGTCAGCAGGGAAAATGAAATGCTGTGTGTAGTTCTCCATACTGGAGGAGCCTGGTTTGAACCCATCCTGCTGCTGGGAAGTGTGGCCTAACTGGAACCTGTAGGCTGCTCTGTGATGGGGTTGTTTTGAGCTGCTGAAGGAAAAGCAGAGTGTGAGCCCACAGCCTGAGTGATCTGGCATGCCAGGAAGATGGGCAGCTCAACTTCCCTCTTGGTGTTCTGGTAAAAAGCCTAGCCTGGTTGCTTTTGCTGGTGCGTAAAGTCACGTGGGTTGACGTTCCTCACCTCAGCATCGTCACTGGGGGAGGATGAGCATGAGCGACAGGGACAGCACGGTTATTTGTGTGGGTGCTGCTAGGCTACGAGGACAAGAAGCCCTGTGGGTTGACGTTCCTCACCTCAGCATCGTCGCTGGGGGAGGATGAGCATGAGTGACAGGGACAGCACGGTTATTTGTGCGGGTGCTGCTAGGCTACGAGGACAAGAAGCCCAAGGCTGTCTCATGGGGGCCATGCTCAGAGTAGCAGAGGAGAGGAAGAAAAAAAAAATCTGTACAATTGCGAACAAGTATGTCTGAATTTGGTGGCTTGCTCTACTCCTTACTGTCAGCTGTCAACTCAACCAAGCCTCTCCAACAAGAAGGAGGGAAAACAAGAGTAGTTGGACAAGCCATTAGCCCATCCTAGCACATGGAAAATGGAGAGAAATGAGGTAAACAGAGCAAAATCTGATTTGTGCTTGTGGGTTATTAGGATAAACAAATCCATTCCCAAGCATTATGTGTCTTGCTTCTTTCCTTCAAAATAGGGAAAGGGAGGAAGAAGGAGCAGGAGCGGAGGTGGCTGAAAGGAGCAACTCGAGCTATCAAGGAGGAAGGCAAAGGAAGCAGAGGAAGTAAGAGGAATGCTGCTTTGTTTCAGCAAGTTGCCTTCCATCTGCTAACCTGCGTGTGGGGGTGGCATGCGTGTCTGCATGTTCGCACTCAAGGGCCAATGAGGAAAAATGCAAATGAACTCTTTAATCTCAAGTTAATGCAATTCAGTTTAGCTAGCATCTAATCATTCGTGCAGATTAGTTGATGGTGAGGCTGGGAGCCAAGCCTTCCCACAAATGCAAGGCAAATCTGTAGAGAAGCTGAACAGGAATCCTGGGATGCCTCGCCCATTAAGCTGTGTTCCAGACTCTTTATGCAAGGGAATACCCTCCAGCCCTTTCTTTCAAGGGGCCGTGTTTGTAAAATGTTTCTAAATACATTTTCTATCTTTTGCTGTAATTGCATAGCCTGATGTACAAGATTTTTACTACTCACTCAGGAATAACAAAAAGCAGTGCACCTAACCTGTAATATATGGTAATACTTAAAACTTCACATTCTGGGGTCATCTGGGTAGGAGAGGATCTGAATGTTTAATAGAAAGAAAAATAACTTCCCCGTCCTTTAGTTCAAAGAGAATGTTAAATTATGCCTTTTGTGCCCCCCGCAAAAAAAACACCTCAGAAGGCAATGAAAAGTAAGTCTCATTTAATAATTTATTTTACATCTCCTTGAGTGTAAGCCCCTCTGAGGTCTGTAGGTTTGAGTCATTTTTTTTGAACAATTTAAGGCTTTTTGGTAAACGACACAGTGTGGAAGAAAGTTGTACCTATAAAGAAATAGCACAAGTAGGAAAAACAAATTTCGTTGTCCTGCCAACTCTTGAAACAGTATTGAGTACATAAGGGCAGTCCCTCAGGAGAAGAGGGATTGAGCAGTGTCTGAAGAGCAGCCTTGAAGCCATAGTCAACATAGCATCATGCTGAGGGCAGTAATTTTACACCTTTCGGGCGTTGCTTTCTCAAGAGCATGACCAAGTACAAAAAGGATGTTCTGCTGCAGGCACTATTTCAGGCACTGGGAAGTTTAAGAAAATTCAGTGGTAGAAGGGCTGCTTCTCCCATCCTGCTCCTACCGTCCTTTGTCACTCCAGGGCTGCAGTCCCAGTACAGTAGATAGGTGCATGCAAGTGGTCTTTTGGCTGGCAAATTTTTCATTCCCTTTCCCTTTAATGCAGCTAACTACAATTACATAGTTTATACACTGTATATGTGTGTATATATACATATATGTGAAACTAATTCTGGTTGAAGTCTTGCTGTAACTCACAACCCAAACAAGCGTGACTCGTGGGGTGGCTGATGAGAAATGCAATGAGCTGCAGACAGTGGTGTGGCTCACTGTGGGTACTGCTTCCTCTCAGCCTCCACCGAGTCACTTTGCCTGAAAGCTGTTCTTCTGATGGCATCATCTTCTGGGTTTATAAACTCATAGTTGTGACCATTTGGGATCATTAGAGATTGCCAGGCACTTCAGTAAGAAAAAAGGGAGTTCGGTGTCTTACCTAAATTCCAACTTGATAATTACAGAGTGTCTTTCTGAATACCGGGAATATCGGCGATTCCTCCTGCCTTAGTCTCAGTTATTCTGTGTGCTGCTTTATTACTTATTACTGACCCATTCCTTCACAAGTACTTGCCACAGGAATTTACTTACTGCTTCCCTCTTTTCCCTGCACTCCAGGACCTGCCTGTGTAACAGAAAAATACCAATGTGTAAGAAGATACCAATGTCAATAAAACAAGTAGGTGTGTGGGATGGCAGGGCCTAACCCTGCCATGGGGGATACAAGTAGGGCTGCAGGAGTCACAGTGAGAAATGTTGTTTGCACCTCTTGCTCCCCAAGGCCTCCAGCGGTGCATCAGACAGCAGGGTGCACTGGCAGCCCAGAGGCAAGATGTGCATTTGCTTTTTGCTCCCCTTGTGTCTCTGGGAGCAGCAATGAGATGGTTGACTCTGAGGGAGGGCTTCCCCACCTCAGTGTATTGTTTGTCAGTCTCCACCTTGAGGCTGTTGATCCCTATTTAACAGCCAAGAGAAGTAATCCTGCTGGGAGGAATTATTCCCAGTGAATTCCTCAGGTGTGCACCAATACTGGTAGGCCTGCCAGGCAGTCTGGAGAACTGCTGTCAATCCCTGTCTGTCTTAAGAAGCCAAAAAAAGCATTTCGTGGCCTTCTGGGCTTGGGCCATTCCCTTCCACCCCTTTGGCCCATTTGTGGAGCCGGCTGTAGAGGGGGAAGCCCTTGTTCTCCCGGTAGATGTAGACACCTGTAATGGCATTCCACTGAGGGCTTGGCTGGACACCCTCCACTGGAAACTCCTGCACTAGCTCCTTCTCCTCCTTGTCCAGCGCCACGAAGCCGAAGAATTGTTTCACATTCTTGGCTGCTAGGATCCTGGAATGGACCTCAAAGACCTTGTCTTCTTTGGAGCGGTATTGGGCCCAGTAAGCCTCCTGCCGGTAGCTCAGTGGTGAGCAGCAATGCTTCAGGCACTTGGTAAGGAAAACCAGGACTGCAACGATGCCAATAAGCAGCCAGCCAAAGAGCTGAGAGAGAAGAGAGAGGCTGTGTTAGGACATGGTAAGGTGGTCTTACCACTCTGTGTGGCTTTCTCCCCAGCATGCCTACCTGGGACTCATATCTCAGCCTCCGTGTCACCTCATCCCTGAACTTGGTGAGGTTAGCTGGCACGTCTTTACAGGGGAACCTGGCCAGTACCTCGGCCCCATGATCGGCTGGGAACTTGTCCAGAGAGGATGGCTTGACAAACTCGCTGAGGGCACAGATATAAGCCTCTCCGCGCAGCAGCGAGATGACCGACCAGGTGATGGGTGCCACAGCTGCCCGGCCCATAATGGAACCAAAGAGGAGAAAGGTGGCAGCAGCAGAGAAGTTCTTGATGCCCCGCTTGTGGCACTCGGCCACCAGGTTCCAGGTGTGGTTGTTCCAGATGACACCAATGAGAAAGAGGGCCAGGGCTGGGACTCCGATGGCAGCCAGCCCGTAGATGTAGTTGCGGGCAGGGGAGCAGGGGCAGTTGAAGGCAACGACTGAGAAGAGCTCCTCGCTCCCCACTGTGCCCAGGGCCACCAAACCATTGAAGATCATCACGTCTTTGCTCTTGAAGAACAAGGAGAGGAATCGGAAGTTCTCAGCGACGAGAGCGGCCATCTCTTCCTGGAGCTGAGAGGAGGCGTGTGCTGCAGCAGAGAGCTGTGCTGGCCCACCTCACAGTACTGAGGGACACGCTAATAGGAGGTGAAAGGGCCCTGGGCCAGCTGATGTGCAAGGGGCTGCTGCAGGAGCACGACACCTTCACTGCTGTCCCTTTCTCCTGCCTGGTGCCCCAGCCTCTGGAGCTGATTGCTGATACCAGGAGCCAAAGAGGTATTCAGCCTAAGCAATGTGTGAAACCTCAGCCATTTCAGTTTCCCACTATGCTCTCCAAAAGCGTCTCTACGGCAACGATTACCAACAGGACAGCTGTTTGTGCCTCCATCATTTGCGCATTTGTTGTCCTTCCTTCTCTTTGGTCTTAGTCACCTCCCGCAGAAGCAATTACTGTTAGCGTTGCTGCTGGACACTCGATGATCTCCTAAGCCTGCAACGAAGAAGGACGCTGTGTTACTGGGGAAACTGGACAGGAGCACTGGGGCTGGGATGCGTCCCCAGTCCTGTGGCTGACTCACATTAGCACAGGTGCACGTGGCATGTGTGTGCTGGTGCCACGCTGCCTTGAATGTGCTGTGTGTGGCTTTTGCCTTACTCTGTAGACCTGATGGGTTTATAGCAATAGGTAAAGGTGTGTCAGAGAGGCAGCAAAAGGTGCTGTGAGATGGCCTAGCAGGTCTGGGGGAGAGAGATGTAGCATGGGAGGACCAGGCAGGAGCAGTTGCCACTGACAGGGGTGAGGGGATGCTCAGGGACTGTTGCTACCAGGAAGAGAAGTTACCTTCTGGCTGCTTACTTTGATGACCCAGGATACAAACACCAAATGCTGATAGAGCTCAATCAGCAATTATGTAGGAGTTTTTGCTAGGATTAGGTGTGGCAGGATGATCTTCTCCCCCACAGCTGGCTATCCTGGCCCACAGTCTTGGCTCAGCTTCTAAGAGCTGGCCTGAAATTGAGCCCCTTGACCTGCATGCCTTAGTGCCAGAGATGCATTTCATTGCCCTTTGGTGTGGCTTCCCCCAGCCCCTTCTCCCAGTCCAACACCGGTTATACTGGGATCCCCACCCCACTGACAAGGCTGGGCTGTGTGGACTGCTGGCACTCAGGACCAAGCAGGGAAAAACATGAGTTTTTTGAAGGACAAGGAAATAATTGGGGACTGTATCCAGGCCCTTTGTAGTGGTGCCAGTTCCCCCATGCCACTTGCAAGCTGCATTTAAATAATTTCTCAGTTGATTTTCCATCTGTGCTGCATCCCCACAGGGTTTCATTTCAGGAAGCCCCAAGCACCTTGCTAGCTCTGGGAACCCTCACCCGTGTGACAAAACGTGCTGGCCTCAGGGGAACTGCCCTTACTGAGGTTTGCTGGAGACAGGAAGGACGTGGGCACCCAACTAACCATCTCTGGCTGCTTGCACAGAGCCACCAGCATCGATATACATCTGAGACTCCCACGGAACCATGACCCACAGCAGGATTGCCCCCAAATCTACCCTGATGCTGGCATCTCCCAGCTGGCACGGACAGAGCAAGGCTTCCCTGGGCCAGCCCCAGCTGTGAGGAAAAGGACGTGGGAAGGTTTGTGCAGAGGAGACAAAGGCACCTTAGTCCTTATGGTCTCTTGTACAAGTCTTGTTCAGCTGTTCTGCTTTAGTCACTGCTGTGCTTTGGTTCATCTGCTGCTCTACCAAATTCTGTTTTACTCCCTTCCTCTGTGGGGAAGCAGAGGGAAATGAGGCAGAAATTTGCTCTTGGTTCCCTGCTGTGTCTAACCCACGGCAATCCTTTAAAGTCGTGCTGTGATAGCACTATGTTCAAACACAAGCAGCCCTTAACATTTTCCTGCATCTTCCCAATTTTACATATACAAAACTGCCCTGGCAAAGGGGACAGACCAACCGAAAACTGCAGCCATGTGACGTTGAGCCAGGCCTCCATCTCTGGCTGCGGCGCTTTGTGGTACACCACGTTCGCAGCCAGACGCTAATCCTGCAAACTTGTTCTAGGGCATCAGCTTCAAAACCCTGTTATTACAGTTTCCACTAATAAACAAGGCCCTGCGACCTTCCTGACAGTGCCTGGCAACTGGGAAAGGAAACCCAAGAGGAGTTGGCAAAGGAGAATATGCCATTTGGCTGGGGGGTGTTATCCTTCCTCCGCTTGGAGGTTATAGGGCCCGTCTGGGAGAGAAAGGAAGCCTAGAGTAAAAGCTGTCTGCAGCAGTAGTTTTTTAGTGGCCTCTGTTAAAGTCTTTTCCCAAAACATGCATGAAAGCAAGAAAAAAAATGAAGTCACTTACTTGAAAAGTTGTTGAAACCAGCTCTGGAGCCTTCTCAGCTCTTTGCGCGGTTTTTGCTCTGGCTCTGGCTGTGGGGGGGTCCCAGCTGTGCAGAAGTGGGGATGCGACTGAGGCCAGCTTGACAAGCAAAGCAAAAGCTGATGAAAAAAGCCTTTAAGAGTTTGGCAACTTCCTTTTTAAGTCTCCACCGTGCCCTCGGCTGTCGGCTTTTGGGAGGAGGGAGGAGGTTGTTCTCAGGCCCTATGCTTGGGTGGGGCGAAGAGCAGGCGTGTGGCTTCTGCTGGGTGCAAGGCTGAGGTTGTGCCTTTAAGAAAAAAAAAAAAGAGGAGAGGAAAGGCTGAGAATGAGTCACTGGAAAAAATTCATCTTCCTTTTTCAGAACCACGATGCAGCTGCGCAAACGCTGGCTGGGACAGCTCTGGGTTTGCCTGGGGGACGGGGGCGATGGGGCACCTTGCTGGGGTGTGAAGGGGAAATGCTGGAGCCCCCCAGACAGGGGTGTGAATCTAGCCCCCACGGTCTCCTGGGGATGCAGTCATGTTTGTGGGACCTGGCTCAACTGAGAAAGGTACCTGAGCTGTGCAGGAGCCCAGAGCCACCCTAAGCAGGAACGGGCAGTGCAGGAGAACTCTTTAGTTGCCCATGGACAGGCAGAAACTGCTGCTATAGTGCATGGGATTGGCAGAGCCAGCAGGGGAGATGCCAACCTGGCTGGGTTTTTGGGAGAAGCAAGAACCTGCCAGCATGAGCTCTGCGGGGCAGCCAGATTTCACTTCCCACGGCCTGGGAGCGAGCAGTGGGGCTGCTGTGAGGGGTGGGGGTGCTGAATGGGGCCAGGGAAACCATGCGTGCAGGGATGGGTGCAGCCCATGATTTGGCGAGTGCAGCGCATTCCTGGCTGGG